GCAGATGGGAGGAGGGAGGAGGGGATGGGTATATTCATACCTAATGAGTGTGGTGCGCACCGTCTGGGGGATGGACATGCTTGAAGCTCTGACTCAGGTGGGGAAATGGCAATATATATAACCTAAATATTTGTACCCTAATAATATACCAAAATAAAAAATAAAAATAAATCAGACAGACTTTTGACTTGGTTATTAGTGTGGTTATTATGGGAATAAAAATGAGAAAACACAGATAAAACATCTATCACATAGTAGTTATAAACTAGTAGTAAATGTTATGTTTACTTTCCCCAATTAAAAAAAAAAATACTCAGTTTTAGAACAGGAACAAGGCAGATATGCCTGATTTTTCACTAATTTCTTTGTAAATATCTCTGAAATTTTGGCTCTTAGGTATAGAGACTAAGAGGAAAGAAATAATAGATAGACACTAAGGAAGGGAGGAATTTCCTGTTTCGCAATGATTAACATTGCTACCTATAAATAAAAAAATTTTGATGGCTTTATTCTGTTTGGTATTTTTATTTAAAGTGGTACAAAATCAAAGTTATTTATAATACAGAAGAGTATAAATACTAACATCTGGTCTGATGCTTTCCAGACTTGGCTAATTATAAAAGTCAAGTAGAGAATTTGTGTTTTTTGTTGTTGTTTTTGGGTTTTTTTATATTTTATTTTTTAATTTTTTTTATTTCAGCATATTACGGGGGTACAAATGTTTAGGTTACATTTATTGCCTTTGCCCCACCCGAGTCAGAGCTTCAAGCATGTTCATCCCCTAGACGGTGCACACCACACTCATTAGGTATGAATATACCCATCCCCTCCTCCCCCCCCCACCTGCCAACACCCGATGAATGTTACTACTATATGCGCATATAAGTGAATTTGTTACAAATGCAAGCTTCCCAGTCCTGTCCCCTACTAATTCATTAATTCTGGGTTGAGGCAAAGAGTTTGATGCTTCTTATGGGCAGGCAGCTTTGGAGAAAGACTGATATAGCTCATCTACTTCATTTTCTCATTTTGCAGGTGACGAATCTTGGGTACAAAGAAGTTAAATAAGTAATATCTTTTAAATTATTCTGTGCTTTTTCTGAGTCTAAAATAAATACATCTTAATTTTGACACCACACAGAATGAGATTACAAGTATAAATAGCTATCTTTCTTGTCAGAATTCAGAATTATATATCTTGCTCATGGTACTCATATATTGGTTTACGTAAACCCAGATACTCTGAAATGACTCCCTGTAAGCTTTTAAATAGTGAAGCAAATCTATAATCAAGATTTTCCTTTGAAGTATTTTTGGTATCTAAGAATGAAACACATTTCTTGTTAAATCATTTTCTATAAACCCTAACACAGTAGAGATTTATATCCAGTAACATCTTTTTTTATTTCTAAAAGTGTTTTGGCTGGTTTGAAAATTGTACTTTACTTTGTATTTCATGAAGGGAATGCACAATGCTAGAGAAACCTGATATTAAGTAATATTTGTTCTTTTAGGCAACGCTGCAGGATTTGGAACAGAGGCGCCCCCAGTTGGAAGAACTTATTACTGCTGCCCAGAATTTGAAAAACAAAACCAGCAATCAAGAGGCTAGAACAATCATTACGGATAGAAGTAAGTCTTTTAACAAGCATGGGACACTCCAGGCAAGATGCATGAAAAGTTTCAATAAGAACTGAACTTCATATACTGTCAACACATTTATAAAAGTAATGTGAAATAATTATAAATGATAAGTATTGCACTGAATAAGATTTTCAGTCCATAATGTTATCTTTCAATAACTGAATATATCCACTGAATGAAAGAAATATAATTTTATCGGTTCAGGCCTTATATAGTTGCAAGGCATGGAGTGGTGTGCACAATAAGCCCAGTGTGGCAGAATTTTTGCTCCTTAGTTGTCATCTCTCTGGGCTGGCATCCATGGAGATGCCAGTCTCTCCTTCATATACTTGATTTTTGGTCCAAATAGGCGGGTGCTTCCTGGACCATCTTTCATTCCTGTCTGCAGTGGTACTTTCAGATCTGGTTATCTCCCTGCTGCTTTGATGCCCCCATTGTGTAATATCAGAAATCACTGTACTGTTCCTTATGCCATACTGGGGTGGGCAGAAACTTTGGTAAGGCCAATCTGGCTAGGCATTGTATGTCCTCTTTTCTTCTTTACACACAGTGATTCAGAGTGATTGTGTATGGTGTCAGTAGGTGTGTATGGGGTCAGAAAGAGAGTTAGAGGGAGGAGTAGGGGAAACTATCTGCCATGTAGTTTCCCTCAGAGGTTCTCCTCAGGAATGAGGTCCAGGTCACCTCTGCTATCAGATTCTCTCAGATCTCCCTGGGTTTCCTCCTGTCCCTCCACCTATGTTCCCTCCAAGGACAGACATTGATGTTGAATTTCCTTGCTTTTCCTGCAAGGCTCTCATTTCCATTCCCAAAACCAGAGGAATCTTTTGTAGTGAAGGCATAAGGAAAACATTTCTTCTATTATATTTTTTCTTCCAGATCTTTTGCATTATATCAGACCTAGGCTTTTAAAACTCAAAAACCATGACTCTGTATCTTCATAATTTACATTGTGGTATGTTAACTCTTCCATAAGGAAATGAAGGCAGAATGACTGGCTGCCAATATGTTGGGGGAGGAGAAACAGTAACCAGAGTAAAAGGTTAACATTTAAAAAATTTATTAGTCATAATTCTACATATTAGGTAAATACTTAGTGATAATAGCTATTTATTCAGTACCTCATAAGTATTAGGTGGAGTGTTTGTGTATGTGTGTGTATAAAATCTTTACAGAATCCTGTGAGCTATATTTCATAATCCCCATTTTATAGATGAGAAAACAGTTCCAAGAACAGCTAATCAAATGGCTCAAGCTTACAGAACAAGCAAAGAACAGAGCTTGAAATTTGTAAATGCCTATTTCTAACTTGAAAGTCTGTGCTTCTTCTAATATGTTTACTACTTCCCATCTTGTCTTTTTGCTTTCCTTAATGACCTTAATCACTAGGACTAAATAATTTTTTGGTCTGCAATTATGTATGTTTTGATTAACTTCTAAGGGCATTTCCTCTTTTGGTTATAGTGACTAACAATTAAAATACACTTTTCTTGGTTTTGAAATTTTAACTCTTTATTGTTGCTCAAACAATGAATTTGTATATACGCTAATGTATTAGGTAGGTAATACTAGCTACTATAACAGATAAGCTCTCAAATCTTGGTTGCTTTAACAGTAGAAATTTATTTCTTATTCTAGTTCCATCCAAAATAAGCAGCCCTCTATAAAGTCATTCAGGGACCCACGTTTTTTCTATCTTCTGTGTCCATAGTATCAGAGTCCTATTCATTTAATGGACAGATGAGAAATGAGTGCTGCTCATGGGAGTTTTTCATGAGCCTACAGTGGTGTACATTAATTTTGTTAATAGTCTGTTGGCTAGAACTTGCCACATGGAACACCTAACTGCAAAGGAAATAGTAAAACATTGTCCAATGTTGAGCTCAAGAGGAAGAAGAGATTTAGTAAGAAACTTGTCAGTCTCTGACACAGCTAATTTGGACAAGGAAGAATACATTTACATTCCATGGGTCAGTGGAAGTTATAGGATGTCATTTCTGTAACCAACAAGTCAAGAACAAAGTTGCCCGTTAATGGCCAATATATATAATTGTTCAATTGATGTAACAGAGTGTTCCTCCCCCAAACTAGAACCATAAGAGTTCTCCACCAGGTTGCAACACACTGGCCCAAAAGAGTGAATCTTAGTAAGTGATTTACTCTGTATGAAACTGTATTCCTATTATACAGGTAAGTAATCAGTTTCTTGCCTGAGAAATATGGAAATTTAGCAAAGATGTTTATGCAAAACCAAACATATCATACAAAAAGTCATTTGTTATTTTACTAATGAAAAATAACTTCTATTTTTCCCAAGAGGAAAATAACACTAACGTATTTCATAATAACGATTCAACATTGTCTAAACATTTTCAATTATCCCTTGTAATCTTTTTTTTAATATTGCATTGACTTTTTTTCATGATGGAGATTAAAATTGAGTGACCAGAAGGCAAGTTTGTATCTCTCTGCTAATATCCAGTGATTTGAATAGTTCTGCCTGTCTAAGCTTTTGTCTTTTGGAAATGAATACCTTTATGAATGTTTGTAGCATAATGGAAAGATTCTAATCCAAATCGTCCAAAATAGCATTTTCTTAAAAGCAAGTGTCTGTTGAGACATGTCGTGTTGCTTATTAAGAACCTGAGCTGGAATCTTACTTCCAAATATGCCCAGAGCCTCTAACGCTGGTACCAGGATTATTCTGACAAGAAATGTTTATCTAAACAATGTCATTTGCAGCCCTGCTATGCTTCAGTTTATCTCTCTATTTGAAATCTATGAAATGGGATGGAAATTCAATACTCATAAAGTTTCCATCATGTTCAAAATAGAATTTTTCTTAGTATAGATTTGGTTTCCAGGGAAAGGACAGAAATAAAATACTTGCTCATAAAATTGTATTTTCTCATTTGACAATTACAGTCTTCCATTTTTACTGCCCTGAAACTTCTAAAAATACTTTAAAAGCAATCAGCTTAATAAAGAAAATATTTAATATGTGTGTAATACTATATTGAAACATTTTTACCTCTTTGGAAAATCCCAGCTCATAACTTTGAACAGTGGAGAAAATCTATACATACTTATTGCATTCTATCAAGAGAAAAATCCAGTAAAAAGCTATTCCTCTCTACGAGTAATATTCATGCTAAACCTCGGGTAATTGGGTCTGCAAACTACCCACATGTTTTACTGTATAAAACTATTCCCATGGTATCTGTTGCTTTCAGATAATTATATTGATAGAAATTGTGTTGTAATAATCTAGGTAAGAGAATAAATTTTATTGTGAGTTCAAATGAGAAATTCTTCTTGCTGTTTCTAATGTTTAAATTGCTCATTTTTCTTCAATTCTTTCGTTGCTAAATTTGTCGACCATCCCTGGCCATTTTCTTCTGCAAAAGGGCTAGGTCAGGTGACCAAAAGTAGGTAAGATTAGAATAATTTAAATTTGCTTCCTTGGAGGTGTCTGAATTATGCAAAACTCTTGTTCATATCCATTAGGACTGCAATGCATAATACCATAATACCTTACATAGCAGTGAAAAGGATATGGAAAGAAAGAATCGCTGTCTTTTATTGCTCTATTTATTTCACAAATAATATTGGTGAATGTGGCTCCTCCAACATTTGTATTTAAGAGCCTTGCTTCTGTAGCTTCTCCCTCCATAACCTCCACCACTAACATTTTAGGGATATATAGCAATAGCTTATATAGGTCTTGAGCACAAGCTACCTGGACCTGCCACTTATTAGCTTTGTGTCCTTGAACAAATGACTAATCTTAGTAAACTATCTGATCTCAGTTTCCTTCTCTTCTAAATAGGATTACTTATATCTATCTCAAGGATTGGGAGAATTAGATGGAATAATACATGTAGAGCACTTAGATCCATAATAAAAGCCCAGTGAATTCTGGCTCTTGTTATTTTAATTATAATCTATTTGGGTAGTTTGAATGCTTAGTGCAAAAGCATTTAGTGAGCTTTTTGACAGCTATTTGATTATTACACACACACACCCCAAAAACGAGAGATTTAAAAGACCAAAAGGAGAATGTTGCTTTGGAAAAGATGCAATAAAATATATAAATAGAAGTAAACAAGTTCATGTAATTTATTTCATTTTCAATATTCACGATAACCCTAGAAGTTAGATATTACTATTCCCATTTAGAGACAGAAAACTGAGGCCCAGGGAGCTTAAGTAACTTGCCTAGGGTCTTAGGAAGATGGCAAGCGAGGAACCAAAATGCAAACCCATCTCTGTATAATAAGTTTAAAGCCTGAGATACAGCAAATGGAAAAGGATGGTTAACCAAAAAATAGGAAGAAATATTTATTTGAAAACTTAGAATATTAGGACTAACCTTAGGTTATTATAATCTGGATATAATAATTTCATGCTGCTCCTATTTATACTTTTGTCTTCTATGTATTTGGGTATCTGATTATAGAATTGTGTCTTATATGTGATGGAACTGTACAGACTAGTGGACCCCAGTGATTTACTAGCTGTGTGCCCTTGACTTAGTGGATTCACTTCCATAAGCCATGGTTTCCTCATCTGTCATGTGGGGCTAATTATAGTACTTAAGCTAGTAGGGTGATCATGGAAGTAAAATTACATGATGTTGCTAAAGATATGGCACATACTGGATGCTCATTAAATGATACACATTTTCATGATGAGATGAATTTGGTACAGAAGAACTGAAGATGGGGTAATATGAGGGGTATATTATATGGCCTTTTATCAGCTAAACCAAGGGAAGGACTTCTGAAGCAGAATGCCACATCTTAAGAGAGAGTTATTTCTTTGATATTATTTTTCCAGCTAAAGATTTTCAAACCAGCTTCAAACCAGAATTCTCTAAGAAACTTAATGACATCTTATAAATTTTAAGAAAACGAATTCACATTCTATTGCTTAAAGAGCTGGTATACAGGGCCATGGAAGGGAGAATGTTCTGTATGGGAATAAAA